CAATAATAACGATAAGAGCAATAATAAACAGAAAGAATAAAGAAATAATTTGAAGAAAAGCAGTCGTCAACAAATATTCCAGATGATGGTTATTACTGTCTTCACAGGACAATCCAAGTTTCGGAGAACCGAATAATAAGAAGGCATATTAAATTCATTCATTTTGTCTTTCCAGAGAAAACCCTGGTAGTTGTTGTCCTCTCTTTAGCCATGCGCGACCACCCCGCAGATAACTTAAGAGCCGTCTACGGAGTAGTCACGCATGTTACCGGCAGGCACCACGAGGAGGTAGGAGGACAACATGGTACGGGAGAGGCTAAGGGCCAGAGGCCTGTATTGCGAATCACCGCACCTGTAACTATGATCGCCTTAAGAGAGTCATAGTTACTCCCGCCGTTTACCCGCGCTTTTTTGAATTTCCCATCGTAATGCTTTGTTTTAATTAGACAGTCGGATTCCCCTAGTCCGTGCCAGTTCTGAGCTGAGCGTTGAATGGCGGCCGAAGAGGACGACCACGACGACGGAGCCGCCACGGAAGCCTCGCAGCAAGGAAGATCCGCGGGAGGCCAAGGCACGGGACCGAGCTCGGTTCCGGGGTGCGCGACAACCCCGCGAGGGGGAATGCCGCGTCCCGTTCAGCTCGCCCAGGCCCGGCACGTCAGCCAAACCCGCTTCCCGACCAAGCCCGACACGCCCCGCTCCTCAGAGCCAATCCTTATTCCGAAGTTACGGATCCAATTTGCCGACTTCCCTTACCTACATTAATCTATCGACTAGAGGCTCTTGACCTTGGAGACCTGCTGCGGATATGGGTACGAACCGGCGCGACACCTCCACGTGGCCCTCTCCTGGATTTTCAAGGTCCGAGGGGAAGATGCGGACACCGCCGCAACTGCGGTGCTCTTCGCGTTCCAAACCCTATCTCCCTGCTAGAGGTTTCCAGGGAACTCGAACGCTTATACAGAAAAGAAAACTCTCCCCGCACCTCCCGACGGCGTCTCCAGGTCATTTTGGGTTACCCCGACGAACACTCGGATTGAGGGCCCGGATTGGTATACGGTTCCGCTGCCGGGTTCCGGAATAGGAACCGGATTCCCTTTCGCCCGATGGGTGTGTACTTTTGTATCGTTCGAGGCGCGAAGCGCGACGGCGTCACGTATTATAATGCGTTCGATCGTGGTTCGCCGCGCGCTCGCATGATGCACGCGCAAGAGAAATCGACCAAGAGGACAACGACGAAAAGAGAGCGAGAGTGCCGCGCACGGTACCGTGTCGTTCGAGACGCGAAACAGCGGATCACTTTGTGTATTCAAAGGAAACGTTCGATCGTGACCGCGTTTCGCGCGTGGTACGGCGTGCTCTCCTCT